CAATTCTTTTAGATTACGATTGCTTGATGCACCATTTCATTTTAAGGGATAGGATCTACTTTATTTTTTCTACTTTATTTTATCAGGTTCTCAAACTTTTGAGATCTTTTTAAGATACTCTTTATTTGTGAACATGTAAGCTTTCACACTCTTTAGAAAAGCTATTTAAAATATAGCATAAGGATTAGAACTATAGACAGAGTTCAGCAAAATTTCAACCTAATAATACAAAAAAAAACACTTTAAAAGGCCAAAAATGTAACTTACACATTAATCCCTAAATTACAAGTGAAAAGGAACATCATAATTACTTGAGGCATTGCAACAAATAGTTACAGACTCAGCACTGTCTGTGAGATTTTCATTTAAGGAAAACCTGAAACAACAACATCTGGATGTCTTGGAAAATTTCTGCTGAACCAATGACTGAAGTCAGTAAAGAACTACAGGGAACCATGTTTAGGAGAAAAAACAACCATCCTCCCATTACTAGAGAGACACCTGGGTAGGGGTCATAGGAACCTGGAGCAACCTTAGTGAGACTACATTCTGAATGGGACACATCCATCACAGAGAATGCAAATATAAGCACACAGAGAAAACTTAGAGACTCCAAAATACACTAGTCAGCATGTCTTTAAAAGGTGAGAGGAAACCGGGAGTCTCCCGGAAATCAGCGTCTCCTCCCTGAGTCCCGCAAGTGATCCATAATCACCCGGAAATTGCCCCCCACTCCCAAAGTTTTCTGTTGGGAACACCCCTGGTCTGAAAATTCCTCAATGAATTATTCAATTATATAATATGACTTTGATCCATCTGAGAATCTGCTCAAATCTGGTAAAATAAGCCGCATCTCAGCATAACGAATGTTTGCAAAGAAAGTTTGCATAGATATTATAGTTTCTATCGACTAATTATTTAATTTTATAGCTGTGATTTATTTCAAGTAAATAAATCACAGCTATAAAATAAAATAATTAGTCTCCCCAGTCTGCAAGTTTTCACTACCCGCCCCCCCTCCTCCCTGAAATCATTTTTTGAAAGTTGGGATGTCTAAAATCCACATGAAAATGGGACAGCATAAAAACTTCCCCCTAACCCAAGAGCTACAAAACAGCAGTACTGTCTCACTTAGTCTCCCTTACACATTGAACAATTATTATGTTAGCATTATTTATTTGCATTTCAAGAATCATTGATTTATCTGTTCTTTCAAGGATATGCCTGTGATTTTTACTTTCAATCCTTATTTATGTATCAGTGTGTTTTAAGCAGGAAACAGCCATGGAGACCTATGCCATCTTAAATTAAGAGATATAAAGAATTACAACTAATTGCATTTACAATTAAGAATAGGAGTTATTAAAACACAAAGGGTGAGTGATGTCTTTAACTATTCATTCAGTAGGATCTCTTATGAAATAGCATAAAGAGATGCTTGACTTAGTTAGCAACTCTGCCAAATAGTCAACTCTTGTTTGTAACATTCCTTATGTACACAATGATAATATCAAATACACTTCTTATATTTCGGAAACAAACTACAATCTGAAAAAAAAACATGATAAAAACAGATAATTTGCTGTGCTTGTAATGCGTATTGGCATATAATATATAATGCAGAGAATGCATTTATTAAATGCTTAAATTGTCCACAATGACTAGACTTTTCAATTGCAGGATGCCTTGTGGTCCAATTTTAATATCCCAGACACTGCTGTTCATGTTTGCAAATTCTAAAGTATACAAATTGTAAAACAATTTTCCACTAAAGTTGGTCATATCTTTAAGTATTTAAGAGATCCTTTGAAAAGAAAATGTGAAATTCCTAACTATAGCCTTCCAAGAATCATAGCAGTTTCTACATCCTTTTAAAAAGTCAACAGCATAAGTCTGTGGGGAAGGGATACAATTGTCCCTCTTAAAACTGGATGGGTTTAGCATTTTTCCCAGGCGAGGAGCTGTTAAGAATTTAAGAAGACACAGAATAGCATATAGAGGAAATGAAAACAACCAAAAAGGAACCAAATAAACAGAGGAATGACTTTTAAAAAACATCAATACTTCAGTATGACTGGCTTAATTGTCCACAGAAAGCTATGGACAATATGGGATTACTATATTAAGGACTCAAACCTTTGAAACAACAATGACTACACTGAAACCTTTTATTATTCGTCTGTGAGACTACAGCTCTAAAAACATAATCAAATGCTTGATGCAAATGGAATTAAACACTAATGTTATTGTGCGTGAATCTGAGGTATCACTTTCTGCCATCTGAATCTCTTCCCATGAATTAATAAGAAGCACAGTGTATGTTTGACATAATTAAAATGAAGTATTGCATAATACAATGAAGGCAAGCACAGCAAGTAATACAGTATTTCTCTCTCTAGTTATAACTGTTGCAAAAAGTTCTTAAAACCTAAACAATAACAAAAGGTAGCTGGCACACAAATTATAATCAATAGAAAATAATTTTATATTATTTAAGATTTTCACATAATTAAAACAGTTTATTTTCCTGCTCTTTTTTGGTGGTTATCAAAAATCTGACTATAGTAAATTACAAAATATATTGGTTGCATTTCCTTAAATAAGACATCTTTATGTAAAGCCAATTAAATGAGATGACTTTACTGGTTTCTTAATATGGTTTAGCTTCATTCAGAACTTAGTAATTATTGAATTTGGTTAAGAAATGTTAGACTATTATTTTGATATTTTACATGTTGGTGTAAAATTGTAATCCTTAAATATATTTAATGTTATGTAAGTTTCTTATATTTTTTGTTTTAATTTTATTGATGTCCTTGCAAATACTACACATATTTACTTATGTTGTTACAAACCCAATTTGTTTGCAAAGGATAATCTTTATTGCAAATGCAAACTTTTTGACTGTACAAAAAACATTTTGGGAATTTGTGATGCACAATTACAGCAAATATTTAAATCTAGGCAACATAGGTCTTAGACAGACATACGCTTTTTTAAACTTTGTAAATGAATATATGTCTTTATGTATTTGAAGTATCAAGGCCCATATATTAAATAAATATTAATTAATTCCCCTTTATATGTGGTTAAATATTTTTTCAAGGTGTAGTTTTAACTTTCCATAACATGTCATGTACAGTTCCTGTATTGAGCATTCCCAGTTGCTCACCCAATGAGTTTGTAAAGAACACTCATGCAAGCTAAGCGCTATAATTGAGCCTGGGTCACTAGCCAATTGTGACTGGGATTTCCTAAGTGGTGGTGCACAGATGGCTGAGTGTCACTTAGGGTGGATTGGGATTAGTCAGTCAGGGTTCTCTCTGTTTTCAGCCATTCAGCAACCTGTGCACCTGTGCAGCCACCCAGATACTTGCAAGCATGCAAGTAAATCCTTCAGCAAAGGATATATCTCTCCTCCAGTCTGCACTGAACCTCCAGTATGGGGCTGTTGCCTGTGCCATGTTAAAATATTAATGGCTTGAAGGTGGGCAGATTGGAGGAGTCTGCCTACAATTCCTAATTTTACCATCTGTGCACTTGTGGGGTTGAAGGCTGTGAGAGAAGACTCAAAAACATATAATTACCTATTCCAAATTGGGGTGGGTTTAACAAAATAATATTTTTTCAAAAACTTTAAATCAACAATCTGCATCAGATACATACTGTAACTGCAAAAATGTTAACTACACCTGTGTGAACCCATGCATTTAGCCAGTTAAGACAGAAAGTCCCAAACCTAAAAATATATCTTTCATTATAACAATACTCAACATGGACAGTTTACATAAGTAAACAGTCTCTGGACTTGAAAAATACATTTGTTTATAGTGCAGCCATGTAGAATATCAGCAAAAACAGGAGTGGGACTCCACATTAGTGTAAGGAATCAATGGATGAGTAGAGCAGCTTATTCCTCATACAGAGGATAAGATAGTTACAAGATAAGGATCAATGGGATCAGATTGATATGGATTGGATAAAGATAGTATACTGTCCTCTCAAGAAGTTTCACATCTGATAAGACTCTCATATCGCCTTTATCCTGAAAGGTCAGAACTATAGTACAGAATTCCATGAAAGCACTGTCCTCTGTGTGCAAAGGACTCACTATTTTGTAGTACAAGGTGATTCACTGATTCACTGTTCTGAAAAACATTAACTGATGTCTTCTTGTTTTTCTTGAACCATGTAATCAACCTGTTAAAAGCTGACAGTATCAGAAGCTTGGAGATGCCATGCCAATGGACCAATTCTACCCATGTACCACTGCAAATAATGCAACTGTATTGAAAATCTATTGGTAGTGTACTTATGAACTTCCTCTATTTGTCATGGCTGTCTTCCTCTGTACCTGTTCTTATAGGCAATACTCATCAATAATGTGAGTAGAATGGACAATTTGCACATAAGGTACTGTCTGCCTTCTTAAATAGAATCTGTAAGAATCAATACATAATAATTACTGTATATACATTGAATTAAGGAAGTCAAAAGAATTCCAGCTTTTTTAGCTTTGGAACCTCCAGCCTATTGTGCCCTAGTTTTTGTAATCACATGGTGGTGATATAAAATCTTTACTTGATTCCCTGAAGAGCATCCATTGATAATTAAGAGGCAAATGGCATTGTTGAAGAGCCGCTATGTAGAAAGTTTCTGTTTCTTTTCTTTAAATAAACCCCCAGGCTATGTCTTTTGCTGAGCAATATGTTTATATGTTAATATGTTAAATAGACATGCATCTTTAAATATCACAACATGCCCACTCCTTACATCAGTACTTAAGTGAGATGACCTTGGTTAAGAATTCATTAAAAGGCATCTTTCAAAAAGATCTTGAGGGCTACAACCAGTTAATGACATTCAAGTCTTTGAGCTCTGATGCGACTCATTTCACCACTAAACAGCTTCCATGTTCACTCCATGTTTTTGGAAACAGTCATCTGGGTCTTTCTGCAGTGGCCTACATGCTGGCAGAGTGGAATAAGGTAGCTTTTTACCTGGTCCAAGGTAGAGTACCTTGACTTGAGCGTGATGACCTCATCAAGGTGTGCCCTGAACTCTCTCCGAGCAGCCTGGAGAAATCCACAGCAAAATCACATTCTGCCTATTGTTACACAACTCACAACTGTAATATATAGCCAATAAGTGCAGTTTTATTTAAACAAACAACGGAACAAAGCTATGGTAAAAGGGCACACCACACAAAAAACCTCAGAAATTAAATATTTAATTTCAGAAGAATTTATTTTCCAAAGAAATGAAGGGTACTGTTAACCTTCTCTTTCAGCCAATCAGAAAACAATGCAAAATTAGTGAGAGACATTGTAATTAATCCCCCTCTGTGTTTCTGTGACAGTAAACATTTGTTGAAGAACGCTAAACAGGAAAAGACTTTCAATATGAAAAATTTCTTACAGTTTTTTCCCCATCTTACCCTGATTTCTTCAATGCCAACTTAAACTTATTTTCCACTTACATGAACAAATAAGAGACTACATTTGCCACTGTGCCAAGGTAGAACCGTTTTTCCAGAAGCAGAGACTTGTTTAATCACAAAGGGGGAGCATACCGGAGGTAAAACCATTTAATTAACATGTTTCTTTCTTGTTATGTAACAGTACCGAAGGTTTAGTTTTAATAAAGATTAAAACTAACATATCCAAAACCACAACATCGATTGGAAAGGCCGACTTAAATCCCGAATAAGACCTTTGCTCCACATGAGCCACATGAGATTATGACCTTTCAAATCTTCGTTGATTTGCAACAGCAGAATTGAGAGACCACTAGTTCACACCTCCCCCCCCCCTCAGGAGTAAAGACCCAATGGAGAGAGAGAAAGACAGCAAGGGACATCTCAAAATGATGATGGACACACTCAGTATTGAGCCAGTCAAAATAAAACATTAAAAATGGCTACAGAAGTGGAAAAGGGAAGGGGAGGTATTAAAACAGCACCAAAAGCTTTTTTATAATATATATGTATATATATATGTTCTCTCCCTTAATTGACAGAAGGATTTGCGGGATCAGCATGCACAGCAGCAAACACCACTCTGAGACAACACCAGGCAGACAGGAGTGGCTGAGTGAAAGAGTGGCGTATGGCTTGGTGATGATGTCATATAACACATGCAGGTATACCTCAGAAACACTATAGGTGGATGAGCAGGAAGGGAGCCGGGCCTGGTGGTGCAGTGGAGGGGAAAAGAGAACACTGTTAAAAAAAGGAAATGACGCCAACGGGAGGATTTCAAAAGGCTTTCTGCATGGGTGGTCCCAGAACTCAGACAGTAGCAGGGGTTTTACTTCTGACTTCAAGGCTGAGGTAAAAGATGTGCTTCTCATAATCTAAAAATAAAGCGAGCAGGATGTTTTTTTCCTTGGTAAAGTAACGGAACTGATGTCATAGTTTTTTTGTGAGATTGAGCAGTATGATTGACACTGGTAGGAAAGCCAAACCAATTATCATTCAGAAATAAAAGCATTTATTTTTATAGTAATCATTGTAATTAAAAAACAAAATGCCCGAGGAAGGGCAGTTTCTGTATACTGAAAAAGGATTTGTCTCTAAAGATTGTATTGAGATATTGTTAAAACTGCTTTTGAAAAATCTTAAAATATGCATTCAAACTAATTCCTCCACCAGTACTTCTAGAAATAAGGCCTAAACATTCATGATTAAAAATACATGAGATGCCAGACATGTCCTATTTCTGTTTGTGGAAATCTCTGTGTCCAGACACCTTGCTCAGATTCACAGAGAAAATGGGAATATAAGAAATGAGGGATGAGGGTCAATGAAAACACCACATAAATACCACTAGACTGCAGGCATTCACTTTTTCTAAATGGGTTCTATACTACTTCTACTTCAGTTATTCTAAAAATAACTGGAAACACATACCAAAAGAGCAATGCTCCTTTCAGCTAGCCATGATAGGTGATTGCTTTGTTTACATTTTAATGAAAAAAGAGTGCAGAAACTGTACAGCAGTATTATTTTTGTGCACTGGTACTAAATATAATCAACTGCAATATATTTATTCTGTATTTATAACATTTTATCGATAATAATACTGTAATAATACTGTAGTAGTGCTGCACTTTTTAAATAGAATCCACCTACTAAAACAGAAGGGTTTAAAAAACAGAAGCATGAATACATTTTACCTTTTTACAAGGACAATCATCATTTAAAAAGGCCAGTGATGATAATCATACTTTCAGATAAGTAATAATTATCACATTAATAGATTCTATGACATTCCTTTCCCCTTAATGTGTCAAAGAAATGGGTAAACATCTCTTGCCACACTCAAATGAAACCCCTGCTGAACACACAAAAAAGTAAAAACAGAATGTATGGGGATGAGTCGGCAGACCAGTCAAGATCTGGGGTGACCAGTCATCAGAAATCAAACGTAAAAAAGAAAAAGAAAAATCAAGAGGAGAAAAAGAACATCACCGAGAGAAATCGTACATTTACTCTGAGTGAGCATCCTTTCACATTGCCCTCAAGGTGACCTCTGAGCTCCTCCAGCTTTCGATGGAGCTACATGTAAACATCAGAGAGTGAATTGAGACACCCAGTTGCTCAAGTAGAGTGCTTAAAGAGACAAACATTGTTTTTTTCTTTGTATTAAAAGTGTAAAATACAGGACTGGAAAAGAAAAAGAAATGAAACAATGTAAAGGCACACTTGGAATGGTTACACATTTGAATAGTTTTCTCTAAAAGATTAATGTGTTTTTTTGCTTAGTCTTCCTACACTTTTATGCTTTCTCTCTCACACTCTCACTATTCTATTTCCTTCTGAAGGTGCTCTTTCTATTTTGGTTTTTAAGTGATGCCTTTTAAGATGGTTAGGTTGTTTGTATTTAGCTCAAGCCCTAATCAATAAGGAATTTTATGTTCCAATAGTAAAAGAAAACTTCCTTCCTTGCACAAGGTTCTCCTTCAGTATGCAGTTAGTTAGCGCTCCATCTCTAGAGTTGTGAACTAACATTAAACATTTAACTGCCCATGCAATAATGTTTTTTACACTACTGAAATTCATGCTTTTGGATCTCAAAAATAGGTGCCAAGTTTTAGCCTTAAAAAGTTAAACACATCTTTTGACCTTTATTACTGTCTTATTGTTAATAGTTGAAACTACAGTACATCACAGGCAAAGCAAAAAATGTGGTGGTATTTTAATGTGATTTCCTGCATCTTTGTAGCACAAGTAACACAAGAAACTGAATTTCAAAATAATACAGTTTAAAATCAGCAAAAATGTATTGAGTTTTTGACTGAATTTTAAGTAAAGTTTTTCTTTTGCTTGAATGGTGCATTATATTACAGTGCATTATAGTGTATCCAGAGTTTGGTTGGTTAATTTCTCTAAAACAGAGGAAATCTGGTTCGATAGAGACAGTTCACTGTCTGTATGATCCTGAGGCTTTGTAAACACTTTCAAGAAACCAAAGACATTCATAAACACTAAGGCAAAGGGTGCCCATGGTCAGATGAACAACTTTCAATACTCAGTAGGGTGACTAACTGTGTTCACATAGCACTGTGACCTTAGTGATCAATATTTCTGTTTCAATGCTTATAAATGAGGAACTGTCTTCATACACATGAACTCCATAAAACATAACCCCAGATACTTATGAGTAGGCCAAAAGCAGTTTGTGGTTGAAATCAATGGGCCTATGTGGACTGTTTCTCTCCACATGTAAATCAAGATTACTTATGATCATTTCCATTTCTCTCAAAATTGGGCAGTCATGGGAGAATAGTAGTGTAGCAACAGCCACACATGTCTTTGATATCCAGGTCTTATCTCTGTGTTCACAGAACTGCTCAGTCAACCAGGTATACTGTATACTGTAGTTCCATCCACTATGAAGCACAGAATGCTTGTAGTTTTTTCTAGTGTAAATGTTATTGTAGTGAATGACAATGCTCACCTGAGCAAGATGAGCAGATGATGGGATCAGCAGTACAGACTGATATACAAATTTCAGCCCGATTTGATTTTAGTCCGGTTTTCAGCCCTAGTTCATATTTCTTTAACTAGACATGTTAACATGTTTTTAACATAACATGTCTAGGCTTTAACATAAAATGTACAGTAATTAACACATTTTTTGCATTTTAGGCTTAGAATTTTTTCATCTCTTTTTCTGTTTCAGATAAAAGTATATTTGTATATTTGAATTTAAATTAAATATTAAAAGCAATTTTAAATTGAATTAATATTTTAGGGAAAAGGAGAACCTTGTACAACACAATATATATCTGAGAAGTTATTAATTTGAGAAAATAAATGCTAGGTGAAAAAACACTTTTTAGGTTAAATTAACTAGTTCTGGGTCCTGCACCTCTTTTCTGTGATAATAAATGAAAAGTTATTTAAGGGATATCCACCTAGTGCTGAAACCAAGGTACTCTATTGAAAAAGCCTCTATGAATAACAAGCTGTAGCCAGAGAGGTTATGGTCAACACATTGCAGAATTTCATTTTTCCATCTGAATTTTAAACATAGTTTTAAGGTTAATTTTGAGATTTTGCAGATATGTACAAATTATGTCATTCTTGCACCTTCGAAATGTGATGGATAGAAAGAATTTGAACCGCATAGTGTTTCTATTTCTAACATTCATGGTAAATAAACCTTGCTAACTGAAATAAAACTGGATTCATTAACAATATTAAGTGGATTTCAGTTGTAAATGAAGCTAGTTATGAGGAGATGGAGCCCATCCCGAAAAACAGGACCATAAGGCAGACACCCTGGATGAAACGCAAGTCCAACACAGGGCAGAAGGGCACACACAGAGACATGCACATACTTGTACAGGGTACAGGAAATTTTCCTATTAACCTATCAGTATGTTTTGGACTGGGGTGAGAAAGGAAACCCACGCACACATGGGGAGAACATTGCTGCTTTGGGATATTAGTCCAGAATAATAATGTAATACAGAATACAGATAATACAGTTAATTGTAATACAGGATCCTTCTGTATTTGTGTGTTAAAGAAATGATTTTCTTGTGCTCAAGTGAGAAACTTTAGTTCTTCTTTGCTGAGGTTGCTCAAAGTCTACACGCTTCAGAAAATCAGGGTGCCAAAATCAATTTGAACTGTTCTCCCATTGGGCACTATACCAGACACAGCATGCATGTTTGCTGAATCACTAATTGCTTTTCAGGGCCTCATCACACAATAGCAGATGGACTTGACAGTATCTAAGTACCCCTGTATTTGCTTTCCTTTTGCAGTTTCGTAGAGGCACCAAGATTGCTTGGTGATACCAAGAAATGGAGTCAAACTAATCTAAAAGCAGCATGCAAATGTGTACACACACCAAGTGTTCTTATAGTTCTTTAAGAGTTCCCTTAAGGAAAATGAAAATGCTCTGCAAAAGTAACAGGTTTATGGCCTGTTGCAATCAACCAGAGGAAGAAAACCACTTAATTATGTACAGTATCAAATCTACTACAGGTCAGCTGAAGGACCCAGGGTATGGTAAAAACTACCAAAATGGAAATAAAAAACAAGCAAACAAATATATATTTCAATTTACAGGCCAGGTTCAAAACATTAAAAAAGAAGACACACTTGTGACAATGTGACTCAAGTAACACTGAATGCAATCTTACCTGACAATTTTAGCAGACAGGACAGAATAACAAAAGGGAGAAAGATTGGTTTTGACTCCCCACACCCAAGAAAAGTACATTTTAATTAAAAAAGCACTCAGAGTAGAAACATAAGCGTCGACGGACAAACGAGCTAATAAACATGCTGGGAGGGCAGAGCTGTGGAAGAGCTGCCTGATGCCACCCCACTACCCAGCAGTAAGGAAAAGGAGGAGCGAGATCTTACTCAGACACCGGTGGCAGCCTTGCTCTTTCTTTAACTGCATCTGATAGTTTCTCTATGACTGCCAGGCAGCTGCATACTGGATAAATCACTTTCTGCTTAATATCCATGGGAGACCCGTACGCATGAAGAGATGCATTACAGGCATGTTGGTGCACAACATTGTGGATGATGATGATGATCTATTGATGATCCAAATAGTAAAAGAAAAAAGAGGCAGTAAATGTGTACATTGCTGAAGACAGGACAGAGGTGTGATATTGCTTAAAAAACACCAGTAGGTCTGGGACATGCTAATGTCATGTTTTAATTTATTTCTTGATAGTTACTTATTAAATTATATAATAGCTATACTTCATATACTAAAATATAGAGTGTTTCATGTAATTTTAGCTGCTGTGCAAGCATTACATCATACTGTAGTATCACCACTGAAGCATTACAAAAACCAGGAAGTCTTCTTGGAATTAAGTTTCAATAGAATGCCAGAGAATTAAGAGAATCTTAATTTAATATAATTAGTGAATATAATAAATGTAGAAGTGCAGTTCACAGTGCAAAATGCAGACATCACATGCATAAATGAAAAAAACCCACAAAATTAAATGCATCTTTGGATTTATTCCCACTCACAAAAATTGAAGGTGGAAGAACACCCTACGTCCATGAAAAACAAATGTGCATTCATGTAACATCTTCTGGTAACTTATGAACTTCAAACATCAAAGATGACTGAAATAAGTTTTGTCTGCTTTCCAAATATTTGGATTTGTGTGGAGTGCATGAGAAAATCAGAAAATGTATAACATTTCTAAAGTTTAACATCAGCTATCACTTGAAATGGGAACAAAACAGATAACATTTTAAATAAAACAAAATAAAAATGTTGTTACTATAAAAAAACTATAAAACAGTGAGATTCGATTCTGATCTTATCAGATCACAGAAGCTAAGTAAATGTATATTCCACGCTGAAACGTTTCATTTGTGGAGCCTTCTTTGGAAGCTAAGCATTGCAGGCTCTGGTTGTTACTGGGATGGGGAGCCTCTAAGCAAAGCGTAGTTCCTGCTGTTGTTTTGGTGGACAAATACTATAGGTGATACTCTTTCCTCTGGACCACAATCTACAAAGCATGGGGCCCAGTGCTGTAGGAGCTGCTTCCCCTTGATGGAGACATTAAACTGCAGTACTGATTATTTGATCATTAAAGATCCCATGGATGTGTTTGTACAGGTGTTAACTGTGTCCTGGCTAAATTCCAATCTGGGACTGTACAATCCAGCCTCCGTGAAGTCTCCTGTTACTTCAACTGGTGAAAATGTCTCACTTATTTACTTAACCTGCTGAGTAGTGGAGCTGCTAGTGTAGAATGTAGGTGGATAAGGTGGATCCCCTCTAATAATTTCTTTTGGAATCACTTGAGGTTGGAAGACTTTGTTAAAAGACTCTATATAAATGTAAGGAGCTAATGATGGAGGTTAGATTCATACATTGTTACTATAACATGCACAAAGGACACAAATGTCAATCACATGTAACTGAAATAAACATAGACAGCTTTTCTTTAGATCGGGGTATGGTTTTGATGGCCAGAGTACAATTCTCCTTATCAATGACTGTTACTGAAAAGGAAAGAGAATCTACAGTCGACATGTCTTTTAAAGATTCCTAAACT